TCTGCCAATTTTAAGAGGCAAACATTTTTGTACCACCTATTTACATATACAGTCCAAGTTGTCTAAGACGACCAACCATTGTCGTGAAAAAAAATGGCCGCTTTAGGCAGGTGGACGTCTTACACAGTGTACTTATATTCAAATCTATTGTAAAAAACGCAAAAAGGGGAAGGGTGGGGGGATGGGAATCAGCTGCTATTTTCACGGGTGATTCGTCTCACATGTGGCTAATAGAGTGTGTTTAACTATAATTTCCACGCGAGACATACATAAGGATTCATTTCACCTGAAGTGCAATGCTAAAACAACTCCATGTATGGTATAAAATTAGTTGTTAACAGTAATAGATCTACCTGCTGTCCTTTTTCGGGTAATCACCTTAGCACACTAAAATTATCAAATTGCACACTAGTGTGCGATGTTGTCCCTATTGATAAGCACTGCCTTATATCATGATTATTCTATAAATTGCTTGAGAATCGTAAAATGTAGGTTGCTTTCTTTATTGTTTCTTTCATCAGATGCACGCATACATCGTAAGGCTCTTTTCGTCTATGCAGACAATCAATTCTGTCTTACGACGGTCTCAAGGTTGTCTTCATGAAGTTTCTTTCATGGCTAATTCTTCCTATGTTTGAAGCGCAGATTCTGTTGCAGTGCTTGTATGTCAGTTGGGTGGATCGAAGCTCTGTATTTCCGCTGTTTTCTTTTCGACGTTGGCGTTTCTCAGCCTGCTTGTTTCTGAAGCTGCTCTCTAATAGTTCCTTTCTTTATCATTATCTCCCATGTTTTCCTGTCTTCAGCTCTTTCTTTGCAGATGCTGACATCTACTCAAAACTTAGAAATGCTGTTTTTGAAGGTGTCTTTGTACCTCAGTTCTGGCCTTCCTCGTGGTCTTTTTCCTTGGGCAAGTTCTCCATAAAGAAGTTGCTTCGGAATCTGGCTGTCGTTCATACATCAATACCATAGTATTAGACACAAGGTGTGTTTTTTCCTCTTTTGTAAAATAGACTTCCTTGGAGGTGGTCCACTCTTTCTCGACACCACTGACAAAGCATAGTTTATTTTATTGTGTCATGTCATTAAATTTGAACAGGTCTGTGTGAATAATATGTAATATAATATCATATCCGATCTTGCAAGCTTCCGTTTTATTTGCCATTCTGAAAGTGTCTGACCCTTTCTTATTCTTTTAAATTTAGAGCTACAAAACTCCCTAACCTTTGTACTTTGTGTTGTCCAGGCCCCATCATCGTGGCACAGAAGTTCCTGCCTCTCCTAGAGCAAGCCGCAGCTCAGAACAAGTCGCAGCCCATGAGTTGTAACAAAGCCGCCCTCATCAATATTTCTTCAAAAAGTGGATCTCAAGAGGTGACATATCAGAATGGAAGAGGAACTTCCATACATTACAAGTGAGTTTCCCTTGCTCTTATAATATCCTCAGAATGTAAACATTAACAGTTTCATCATTATCAATGCCTCCTCCTCCTCCTCCTCC